CTCTCTCTCTCTCTCTCTCTCTCTCTCTCTCTCGATACTCAAACAACAGAATCCAGATAACTTGTAAACACTCAAGCAAGTCTAGTTAAAGACTCACCAGTGCATAATTTGATGCAGTGAAAATTTACTTCCACTCTCTCTCGATACTCAAACAAAAGAATCCCGATAACTTGTAAACACTCGAGCAAGTCTAGATAAAGACTCAACCAGGGTATAATTTGATGCAGTGAAAACTTACTTCCACTCTCTCTCTCTCTCTCTCTCAATAATCAAGAGTAAACTACAATTTAACGCTAATCAATAAAATTGACCTACAATTATCTTTCCCCAGGGATGATCCACTTAGAACAAAGCAAATCTGCCCATAATGCACAAAATCCAAAAGGAAAGATGTTCAAACAACAAATTCATAAGTACTTTCAACCCAATGAGTAAGAACTCTGTCATTTATACGAAAGTCAACCGAAATCCACCTTATACATATTATAACTCTAAAAGCTTCTATTAAATCTTGATTGCTCAATCAGTCTAATCTATACCCTTGATTTCAGAGCAAAAAAAAAAATCATTAAAAAAAAAAAAACTCACTTAAACTCAGAGAACCAAACCTTATTAGCCAAATTCAAATCATACCACTTTCTGAAAATCCAAACCTACTTGAACCTAAATCATATCACTGAATAACCAAAATATTGCATCAAATCTGAGTTGCCAATAACATCTATTCACAAACTCTAACTTGGAATATACTCGAATTATTACCTCAAATTCCTAAAAAAAGCCTAAAAATTCTAAAATTTTCATTTGACCTTAGATACTTGCAAGCTGATCACATCTAACTGTCCATTGGACCATCACTGACCATAGTTGACTTGGCTTCATTTAATTTTTCGCCGCTTCTTGGCTTCGTATTGAACATTAGGAATCCAATCTTGACACTTTTGGAGGTCATTTGGCATTTGCATCATGGTTCACAAACCAAAAAGCTCAACTTGATAAGCTCAAGAGTCCATATAATTCTTCTTGACTCAATTGTGTCATGAGAACAATATAAACAATTACACAAATTATACAATACAAAAAGAAAACACTTAAGGTAAATGAAACTCTAATTAGTCTCTCCTGGGTTGAATCTTAACTACGACAGGATTGATCTTGCTACATATTTGATCGACCTAAAAGAGTCTTAAATGTCCTGATTACATCACTAAACTATGGCTTGTTACTCAAAATCTAGGCAAGTCAGCATTTGGGATAAAAAATTCAAACCCATTTTTCAATGTCCAGCTAATTTTAGCTGTCTTTCTTTGCAATGAGGGAAGCTTAAAAACCTAGATTACAGTTTTATTTAAATTTCTCATTTTACATGAATTACTCTGAATATTTACTCTTTCCTTCTTCTTTAAAACATAATTTTCCCTGTTTCTTTGCATTGGGGAAGCTTAAAAACCTTCATTAGAGATCTATTTAAAATTTCTCAACTAACATGAATTACTCTGAATATTTACTCCTTCCTTTTTTTTATTATTGACCATAATTTTTTCTGTTTCTTTGCATTGGGGGAAGCTTAAAAACCTACATTACAGTTTTATTTAAATTTCTCATTTTACATGAATTATTCTGAATATTTACTCTTTCCTTCTTTTTATTATTAACCATAATTTTTTCTGTTTCTTTGCATTGGGGGAAGCTTAAAAACCTACATTAGCGTTTTATTTAAAATTTCTCAATTTACATGAATTATTCTGAACATTTACTCTTTCTTTTTCTAATTATTAACCATAATTTTCTTAACAAGAATCTCAGAGACTGAACCTTGATCAGATTCATCCCAAGCCATGTCTCAGTCTTTGGACTTTGATGCAATCTACCCAAAAAAAGATTTCAATAAGTCCCTCAAATATAGAAATAATTAAATAAATGGCAGAAGAAAATATCAAATGCCACGCATTAAAACCATAATCCTAAAAAAGAAAGCATCACAAACCTAACATTCATTATTGGACAGATTGTGTTCAAAGTAAACACTTCAGTAAAAACTAACCCACAAAACTCAATCAAGAATTTGACACCCAGTAATATAATATGTATAAGAAATCAAAGGAGAAAGATATAGAACCAACTATGCTTGCAATTTAATTTGCACTGTACTTCTTTTCTAACACACCTCTCTCTCTCTCT